TCCGCCGCATGAGACCTGACATGTCAGAGAAGATCAAAGCGAAAGTCATGAAACAATTCAATGCTGGATTCTAGATGTCACTTCCTATCCTCAATGGGTTTCCAACATTGTTCCCGTTCCTAAAAAGGACGACAAAGTACGAATGTGCGTGGATTATAGAGATTTAAACAGGGCCAGCCCCAAAGATGATTTTCCACTTCCCCACATCGATATCCTGGTTGACAATACAGCCCAACACAAAGTATTTTCCTTCATGGACGGATTCTCAGGTTATAACTAAATCAAAATGGAACCTGAGGACATGGAGAAAACTACATTTGTCACACAGTGGGGCACATTCTGCTACAAAGTGATGCCATTCAGACTGAAGAATGCTGGGGCAACCTATCAACGCGCCATGGTAGCCTTATTTCATGATATAATACATCATGAGATAGAGGTCTATGTAGATGACATGATATCCCGATCGCAAACTGAAGAGGAGCACCTTGATCACTTGCAAATGTTGTTTGTGATATTGAAGGAGTACAAGTTAAGATTGAATCCAAACAAGTGTACATTCGGAGTCCGGTAAACTCTTAGGTTTTGTTGTCAGCAACAAAGGCATTGAGGTTGATCCTGCCAAGGTTAAAGCAATACAAGAAATGCCTGATCCTCGTACTGAGAAGGAAGTCAGAGGATTCTTGGGATGCCTGTACTATATTGCCAGATTCATTTCTCACCTAACAACTACTTGTGAGCCAATCTTCAAACTATTGAAGAAAGATCAAGTAGTCAGATGGAATGATGAATGCCAGTTTGCTTTTGACAAGATCAAAGAGTACTTATAAGAGCCTCCTGTTTTGATGCCACCAGTCGAGGGAAGACCACTGATCATGTATCTGACCGTTTTAGAAAACTCAATGGGGTGTGTATTGGGGCAGCATGACGAGTCTGGACGAAAAGAGCACGCTATTTACTACCTGAGCAAAAAGTTTACCGACTGTGAAACCAGATATTCACTGCTCGAAAAAGTTGACTCATACCACTTTGTTGATATCTAAGATGGATCTGATAAAGTACATCTTTGAAAATCATGCTCTGTCTGGGAGGATAGCTAGATGGCAGATGATCCTAACAGAACATGACATACAATACACTACCCAAAAAGCTATAAAGGGCAGTGTGTTAGCTGATCATATTGCTCATCAAGCTGTAGAATATTATCAGTCCATGAAGTTTGAATTCCCGGATGAAGACATCATGACATTAGACAACTGTGAAGAGATCAGACCATATGACGGACCTGAACAAGGATCCCGATGGACCCTGTTCTTTGATGGGGCATCCAATGCACTTGGTAATGGTATCAGCATTGTACTCATATCTCCGGAAGGGTGTCACACTCCCTTTACTGCCAGAATTTGTTTCAACTGTACGAATAACATGGCGGAATACGAAGCATGCATTTTTTGGTCTCAAGGCTGCCATAGACTTGGGAATCAAATCTTTAGATGTGTTTGGAGATTCAGCTTTGGTCATCAGTCAGATCAAAGGAGAGTGGGACACTAAACACCCAAACCTTATCCCTTACAAAGAACATGTTTTAACATTGCTACCACATTTTGAGCAGATTACCTTCGAGCATTTCCCACGAGAATAAAATCAGCTAGCAGATGCTCTAGCCACAATGTCATCTATGTTTAAACTTAATTGGGATAACGAGGCTCCCCAGATCACCATTGAACGAATGGATGAACCAGCACACTGTCACGAGATTAATACTGAAGAAGTAGTGGACCAGCCTTGGTTTCATGAAGTCAAGAGGTATCTCGAGGCTCAAGAATATCCAGAAGGAGCTTCAATCAATGATAAAAAGTTCTTAAGGAGATTCTCTGCTAAGTTCTTCCTGAGTAATGACATATTGTACAAATGCAGTCATGACTCCATTCTACTCCGGTGTGTGGATAAGATTGAGGCTGAAAAGATCATGGCTGAACTACATGAAGGTACTTTTGGCACCCACTCCAGTGGGCATACGATGGCGAAGAAAATCCTACGGGAAGGCTATTATTGGTCTACCATGGAAGCAGATTGCTATCAACACTCTCGGACCTGTCATAAGTGTCAAATTTATGCTGACAAGGTGCATGTACCTCCGGTTCCTTTGAATGTCTTGACAACTCCTTGGCCCTTTGCTATGTGGGGAATCGATATGATTGGGGAGATCAAGCCTATAACATCCAATGGACACCGCTTCATTCTAGTGGCCATTGACTATTTTACAAAATGGGTCGAAGCAGCTTCCTTCGCATCTGTTACTAAGAATGTTGTTGCCCGCTTCATCAAGCAGAATCTCATTTGTCGGTACGGTATCCCAGAAAGGATCATCACTGATAATGGTACAAACCTTAAAAATACTATGATCACCACCTTGTGCGAACAGTTCAAGATTCAATATCACAATTCATCCCCCTATCGGCCAAAGATGAATGGTGCCGTCGAAGCTGCTAATAAAAACATTAAAAAGATCATACAAAAAATGACAGTCACCTACAAAGACTGGCATGAGATGCTACCATTTTCTCTCCAAGGGTACCGTACCACGGCTCACACATCTACTGGGGAAACACCCTATTCTTTGGTTTATGGCATGGAGGCTGTCTTGCCCATTGAGGTTCAGATCCCCTCTTTGAGAATTATGAAGGATGCAGGTTTGAATGAGGACGATTGGATCCAAACTCGACTTGACCAACTGAACTTAATTGATGAAAAGAGACTTACTGCTGTTTGCCATGGTCAGATGTATCAAAGACTGATGATCAAGGATTTCAACAAGAAAGTCATATGCCAAGTATATCAAGTTGGAGATCTAGTGATCAAATGCACTATCTTGCCACAAAGTGATCCCAGGGGAAAATGGACTCCTACCAATGAAGGACCATTTGTAATCAAGAACATCTTCTCCGATGGGGAAATGATCTTAACCACCATGGACGGTGATGACTTGCCACACCCTGCAAACGTAGACATAGTCAAAAGATACTACACATAAGAGACCCGCTAGGTTGACACACCTAGGCAAAAAAAGGGCATCCCGACGAACCAAAAGGTTCGGGCAAAAATTAGGGATAAAATAAAAATTTGTACACCCGGCAAGTTGAAAACCCGAAAGGGCGACTTGGGGAAAAAGGGTTTCCCGTTGGACTGAAAACCCAAAAGGGCGGTCTAGGCAAAAGTTAGGGAATTAAAGCATATGACTATGTCCCGTCGGATCACTTTGAGGACAATCTCTTCACTGACAAACTCGAAGTCTCTGATCAATTCAATCATCTTCGGACGAAGAAACAAATAGACAGGATATTCGAAGACACGAAGACTATAGCAGAATGAGAACCCCATGGGATTATCATACATAGCTGTCTTTCTTTGTATAAATTTTTTCTTACTTTTATGGCACCATCCTCTTACTAGGATGTCTGTCTCCTTTGTACAAAATACTTATTCAAAGTAAATACAAAGATATCTCTTTAAAGTACAGAAAACTATTTTCCTTTTTCTTTACACTTGTGTTTTATTTGAAAAAACGTCCAATGATTCATTAATGAACATATGCATTTGAACATAGTTACTGTTTACAAATAAACAAAATGAAAGAAAACAATTACTGACAGGTCAAAAGAATAGGAAAACGTCTTTAGCCTATCCCATGAGAAATCCCTACAGTACGTCATGAAACTAAAACTTCAAACTATTAATCCCCGGTGGAAACCATCAAAATTCCCCAACAAATTTATTTTGAAGCCTGAAATCCAACCGGATAACAGCTGACTTCTGATACTCCCCAATAGAACAAAGACTCCCATTCATTAATCCCCAGTAGAAGCCATCGAAGTTCTCTGGATTCCCCAAGCAGATTCCTCAAGCAATATATGGTATTGCTCTCACAATAGAATTTTGTCAATACTTCAACTTCAAGACATGAAGAATCCACATATCCTCAGCAACATTCAGGAATTTATTTTCCTCAATCAGACAGAAATACAACAAATCAGCTTACATGCGCATACATTACATCCATATATCATAAGCATTGATAAAATACATATATTGCATCATGCATTTCATACAACATAATTTTGTGTTCCAGCTAACATTTTACCCTTTTCAGGATGAGATTAACAGCTACCATTAACAATATGCAATCATGATACAGTTCAGATATGCTCCAGACACGGATGCCATTCTGTTACTCATTCAGATTCAACCTTCAGATACAGTTCAGATATGCACCAGACACAGATGCTATCTTGATACTCATTCAGATTTCAAGATCAAATACAGTTCAGATACGCTCCAGACACGGATGCCATCTTGATACTCTTTCAGATTCAGCTTTCAGATACAGTTTAGATACTCTCCAGACCCGGAAGCCATTCTGATACTCATTCAGATTTCAAGTCTAGATACAGTTCAGATACGCACCAAATATGGATTCCCTCCTAATACTCATTCAAAGATAGCTTCTAGATACAGTTCAGATACGCACCAAATACGAATGCCATCCTGACACTCATTCAAAGACAGCTTCTAAATACAGTTCAGATACGCTCCAGACACGGATGCCATCCTGATACTCTTTCATATTCAACTTTCAGATACAGTTAAGATACTCTCCAGACCCGGAAGCCATTCTGATACTCATTCAGATTTCAAGTCTAGATACAGTTCAGATACGTACCAAATACGGATGCCATCCTGATACTCATTCAAACACAGCTTCTAGATACAGTTCAGATACGCACCAAATACGGATGCCATCCTGATACTCATTCAAAGATAGCTTCTAGATACAGTTCAGATATGCACCAAATACAGATGTCATCCTGATACTCATTCAAAGACAGCTTCTAGATATAGTTCAGATACGCTCCAGATACGGATGCCATCCTGATACTCATTCAGATTCAGATTTCAGATAAAGTTCAGATACGCACCAAATACGGATGCCATCCTGATACTCATTCAAAGACAGCTTCTAGATACAGTTCAGATACGCTCCAAATACGGATGCCATCCCGATACTCATTCAGATTCAACCTTTTGATACTGTTCAGATACGCTCCAGATACGGATTCCATCCTGATACTCATTCAGATCCAGCTTTCAGATACAAGTCAGATACACTCCAGATACGAATGCCATCCTGATACTCATTCTTTCAACTTACAAATTACAATTCAAAAAACATTATTGGATGGCATCTACAAGACCATCTCTAACAAGATTCTATCACCTCTCCAAATGGCATCCTTAAGCCCATTCCTCCTATCATCGCATCGTCGAGTGCAAATTTCTGGGCACTCTAGTGTCCAATCATCTTCCACCTTCGAGTCACGAATGGCAGAACTCGCCAATCTAACTGTTCAGGTTTAAGAAGATTGAACAGGGGTAACTATTGTACCCCAAAATTTACCCTCTCATTTGTCAAGTATTTGCTCACAAGATATTCTACGACGTCAAGTTTGCAGCATTGGTACATCAATTTAGGCTTGAAATTGGCACAAGGACAAATGGACTTTTAATGCCCCATTTGACTTTCATGGATAATTTTGGACTCTCATGATTGCTCATGTCAAGTTTCAGTTGTTGGATCGCATTTTTGCTCAGTCAATTGATCAGATGACCTAAAATCCGCCGTATTGGTGAAAAAGTCAACTGTAGCACCAAAAGTCAAACTTTAACTTTTTTGGTCAACATTAAGTTTCAAATATCACAATTCAGCGAGACATTCAAAAATATCAAGCTTGATCATCAAGAAGTTAAGAAAGTCAAAAGTCAACTTGAAAAGTCAAGATTTCCAAGACTTAGAAATTTTCTAAGTGTTTTTATACATGATAATTTCATCACTTCATGCCATTCTTTCACCAAGATGTAAGACGATTCAAAAGAAGCTTTCAACATGAAAGTTGTAGATCTCCATGATATCTACAACATTAACTTACAAAACTTCTCCTAAATATGCTTGGATCTCAAGTTATAAATTCATGAAGTCATGACATTTTCATTTAACACTTAGAGAAATTTTTAGCAGTTTTGGTAAGGTTTTTATCCCGACTTCTTGGCCAATTTTCATCAAGTTCCAATTTGATTTAACAAAAGTGGTCAACATGAAAGTTATAGAGGGTGTTTCAAGCTTTCCAAAACATCCAAGAGCATGAATTTATCATACTTGAGCTAGGAGATTCAAGAGCATGAAGTTGGGCATCCACCCTTGATTTGCAAGTCATTCTATTGAAGAACACACAACAAAACCCTTATGCTATGCTGCATAATCTTATGTTGTAGGCCTTCTTGCTTGCAAATCTCTACATAATTTAATGCTTACACCCAATTTTGAGCTATTACCCAAGTGTTTAAGCCATTTTCCAAAGGATCTTTCCATTTATGGCATAAAGGCACCATTGCTATTCTTGAAAAGCAAGCTTTTTGTACAAAGTTTGTCTTGAGCCCATACTTTGTTTATTTCTTACTTTACTCTACCATAAAACATGGAAATCAACCCCTCTAAACCAACAACTTTGGTACTTCATCTTGGAACCATGGAGTACTTGACATAGTTTGATACTTACATCCCAACCAAACCATAACATGTTGTGTTGTAAACATATTCAGCCTTTGTTCACAAGTCCTCTGCCTATAAATAGAAGAAGCATTTGCAAGGCAAAGAGGTTAGAAAAAATAGAGAGAAAAGCCAAGGAGAAAAGCCAGAAGTTATATTGGTAAACCCTCAAAATCTCATTCATTCAAAAAACCAGTTCTGTTCTTATTCAAAACAAAACCCCAACCCATCATTCCACCATACAAACTCTTCGTAAGCCAAACACTTCATCACATACAAAGTTTGTCCAAACATAAAAACACTCCTTGTAGTTTTATTCATCTTCACCATCAAATATACCAAAAATATTAATGTACAGTCCAACTCAGTTCCAGCAGTCCGGAGCAGCTTTTTGAAGACTTACAAAGTCATCACAGCATTTGGAAAAACATTCAGATATAAAACAACCAGTGCAGCCCAAAGGTAAGTCCTCTTGACTTGATATATTTTTATACATCATTAACAATCTGTTTTTCTTGAAGATAAGATGTAGTATTTTATTATCCATTTGAACTAGTCGTTTGTTTATGATTTAGGCTTATTCACTCATTTTTTATTTACATATATCCATCATATGTTGTAAGCTAACCTGTATAGACAAGAAAAACAATGTTTAAGGCAGGAAAATATAGCATGTATCGACACATAACCCCCATGTGTCGACCCATACTGAGTTCAGATTGCAAAACAGAAGCTGGAAGAGCCTATGAGTCGATACATACGCGTTTTGCATCGATGCAAGAAGGTGCATGAGTCGACACATACCATTATGTGTCGACCCATACTAAACTGATTTTGTTTTATAGGAGCAGGGAAAAGCTATGTGTCGATGCATAACAACATGGGTCGACACATAGCAGTTCAAAATACATTTTTCCCTTGGTTTTGCATTGCTTTTACATTGCTTTCATTATTATTCGATATGGTTGTAATATTTCAGTCTCCATTTCATCCCTATTGTTAAATTGTACCCCCACCCCCCTAAAGTGATGTAATAGCTTAGATTTTATTTTCGGCATTTTTACTTGCTTTTCATATATTGCTAGTAAATAGGATGTATGGCAAGATAAAATCAATAAATAGATAACTTTAAAATATAAGACAAAATGCATGCAAAATAACACACTTGCACACAAGCATCCTTAGGGTTTATCCACTTGGTTACCTTATACAAAAATGGCCATATTACGCATGCGAAGTATCTTGGCAAAACAAACAAGTATAAGATCATAGTCCCACGATGACGCTATTCAAAGTTGCCTTACAAAAATGATCTTGGTCCCTCAAAAATGCTAAGACACTTTGCAACATTGCTAGTCATGGTTATACGATGACCCACGCCCGTCCCTTTACATCCGAAGATAGGGTTGCTTACCAAATCGATGGTAAGACAACAATGTCAAAGGAAAAGAAAATGAACATGAAAGACTTTTGAGTAGGTAGATTGTTTCTAGTTACTTGCTCTATTTTCAAACAACTATCCTTGCTATTTTCCAAAATAAACACACATATTTCAAAAATATCTTACAAACATTGAAAACATTTTCAAAAGACAAACATCTTTGTATACATTCTTACGAACGAGAATCATTGCAAAGATTGGCTAATGAAAGGCCTCTTTTACAAAATACTTTCAAAACCACACAAAGCACAACTTCAAACAACAAAAGCAAGTGATCTAAGCAAGTAACTAAGAGCCCATGGAAAACCATGGATGAAAAGGGTTCTAATACCTTCCCTTTTCATAATCTACCCCCCAAACTCAAGAAAACATCTCAAAGGTCTTTCCTGTGCTTTTTCACCTTTCCTTTTGGATAAAAGAAAAGTCGGTGGCTACTTTTGATAACCGCAACATTTGTGATAAAACGCAAAACCCTCAAGTCAGTTCTCCCACCGTATCACAGTACCCATATATTTTTGGGTCCTGGTTTGTTAGTTTTACCAAAATTCTGTTTGAATTTTGGTTTGGAAGAATAATAATTGATAGTGTACTTCATATCATGTGTGTGCCCATAAGTGAAGTGAGATTTTAGCGGTGTGCGTTTAATTACTAGGTCCATGACTTTCTTAGGTGGAGATACCTTACGTTGGTATCCTATTCCTTTTCTGCCATTTCTGCTAACTCCATAGATCATTGAAGCCATCTTGCTTCTATCTATGTTTTTAGCCAGAAACTTCTGAAAGCTGTGATCATATTCTTTTATGATTTTATCAGTACTACTGGGAGCCTCTGAGATTATTTCTTTCTGAGAGTTTTGTAAATCATTTTCTAGTTTTGAAATCTTTTCTTTTAACTCAGAATTTTCTAATCTAAGACTATCAGTTTCTTTAGAGTCAGAAGCAAGATCCTTTTTCAGGTTCTTGAATTTGACTGAGTTGCTGATACCTTTCCAGAATTTCACTCAGACTTTAACAGTGAAGTCAGGAAATACCTCTTCTGTGTCTGATTCTGAGTCTGACCAGATGCTTCGCTGTCTTCTGTCACATTTGCCATAAGAGAAGTGTTGGCTCTTTCGTCATCTGACTCTTAGTCTGTGTCAGAAGTATCTGAATCATCCCATGTTGCCATGAGAATTTTCTTCTTCTCCTTTAAGAACTTCTTTTTGGGATTCTCCTTCTGAAGCCTTGGACAATCACTTCTGTAGTGCCCTAGTTCATTGCACTCATAGCAGATGATGTATCTGTTATTTTACTTTCTGTTACCAGAAGAAGCTTCAGACCTTCTGTGTCCAGAGGAGGGCTCAGACTTTCTATATCCGGAGGAGGATTCATTCTGATTCCCTGATCTTCTGGAGTTTCTGAATTTTCTTTGCCTCTGCTTCCACAGCTGATTGACCCTTCTGGAGAGAAGAGACAATTCGTCTTCTTCTGATGAGGATCCATCATAAGTTTCTTCCATATCCTACAAAACCTTAGAATCAAGTTTTTTGTTAGATTTTAATGCTAAAGGCTTACCTTTCTTCTGAGGCTCGTCATCTTCTATCTCTATCTCATGGATTCTGAGGGAGCTAACAAGTTCCTCCAAAGATATCTTGTTGAGATCTTTAGCCAGCTTAAGAGCAGTGACCATTGGCCTTCATTGCTTTGGTAAACTTCTGATGATATTCTTTATGTGATCAACAGTAGAATACCCTTTGTCAAGAACTCTCAGCCCAACAACTAGAATCTGGAATCTTGAGAACATTGCTTCTATGGATTCACTATCTTCCATCTTGAAAGCATCATATTTCTGAATGAGCGCAAGGGCTTTAGTTTATTTAACTTGTATGTTGCCTTCATGCGTCATTCTCAGAGAGTAAAACATGTTTTTAGTTGTCTCTCTGTTTGATATCTTCTCATACTCTGAGTATGAGATGGCACTGAGAAGAATTGTCCTGGCCTTATGATGGTTTCTGAAGTCACGCTTTTGTTGGTCAGACATTCTTTTTCTATCTATCTTCTGACCACTTTCATCTACTGGATGCATGTATCCATCAATTACCATATCCCATAAGTCAGCATCATGAGCCAGAAAGAAGCTCTCAATTCTATCTTTCTAGTAATAAAAAATCTCTCCCACCATAGTGTTTTTCTAAAGCTTGGATCTTGTACTGACACAGTTAAGTGTGTGAACTCGGAACCAGGCGCTCTGATGCTAATTGAAGAAGTGAAAAACACAAGAAGGGGGGGGGGGGGGGGGGGGGGGTTGAATTGAAACTTAAAAATCAAAAGCAATAGACACGATATTTTTATCCTTGTTCGCTTGATCTCAAACTACTATAGTCCACTCACCAAGGTGATTTCACCTCTCTCCAACGAGGACTCAATTCACTAATCAAACTGATTACAAGTCTACTTTGACAACTGCCAAAGACTTCTTGAGTACAACCACAAATCGATTTATCTCAAGGAAAATTACTTAATCAAAAGAAAAGGTTTACTGTGTACTATTTGTTTTTCGTTACAAAAACAGTTACACTATTGTGATGTATTACACAAATTGAGTATAGTATCAATATGACTTTTTGCAGCTTTTTGAGATTGTATCGAGCTGTTGTATCAAATCATGTACGATTTACCCTTTAAACTTGTTTATATATGCGTGACAATTCTGTCAAAATGGAAACATGATAATGGACACTTAATGCACTTTCCACACTGAGAACATCCTTGTCTGAATGTAGCCGTTGCATATGATACTGCCTTAATGGAAAAGTAACGCTTCAGATCTTAGGAATCTTGCATGCTGCTTTGCTTCAGAACTTGGGAAGTCAGAAACGTAAGGTTCTGTTAGCGTGTTGGACTTTCGTTCAGAATCAAGATATCTTTCTCTTTAGCGCAGATTCTGATCATCATAGTTCATAACATTCTGATTACTCAACTTGAGTGCTTCTGTGGCTTAACTTCTGATGTCGTTTCAGTCAGAACTTGTGTACAACATAAAACACAAATTTAGAGGGCATATTTGTTCTTTGTGTTTGTTATCATCAAAACTCTTATGAGGGTTGTAGAATCAAACTATGTTCTAACATTGTCTATTTCAATAATATTCATGTGAAAGTCATGAATACTCTCATCCTCTTTCATTCTTAAGTTCTCAATTAGTGTGGTAAGAATTTGGAGCCTTGATGTCTTTACCTTAGAGCTTCTTTCATGAGAAGTCTTCAAAATCTCCCAAGCTTCTTTAGCAACATTACAATTCCTTATCGGTCTGAATATGTTATTGTCCACTCCATTGAATAGGGCATTCAATGTTTTGGAGTTTCCCTCTGATGATTTTTCATCTTCATCATTCCAATCTTCCCCATCCTTCAAAACATCAGTAACCTTCCCATCCTGACCTACAACCGTTGGTGGATCTCATCCCTTGACTACAGATTTTTAAGCCTTGCTGCCCATGGACTTAAGGAAAGCCACCATACAAGCTTTATAATAATCATAGTTGGTTCCATCAAGAATGAGTGGTTTGTTCCCATATCCTCCTTCCCTGTTCATTGTACCCGAAACTGTCTTCTATGAATCTCACCCAGAGTCAGAGCAGGATGCCTACTCTGATACCAATTGAAATTCTGGTATTCAGATCACAAATATCCTAAGAGATGTCGAGACACTGATCTCTGAACAACAAGACAATGAACAATTTAAAACAATATACAATGCAGAAAGTAAACAACACACAAAATTGTTAACCTAGTTCGATGTACAACAACAACTACACTGGGGGCTACCAAGCTAGGAGAGAAGTCAACTAAATAGTATCAATTTGTAGACCCATAACAAGTTATCACCAGTTTACAATCTACCCACTTAATCACTACCCGTTCTTAACTTCTACCTGAGACTCACCTAGGTATGAGACCCTTCTCAAATCCCTTATAGTCACAAACAGTGACGCGAAAACAACTCAAACGAAATTAGAAGACAAACTTCAAAAACACACAATCACTTTATACTTAGAGCTTAAGAGTGATTTCACCTTGAACTCGAGGACTTAATCCACTATAGTCATACTGATTACAATCGCACATGCAATCGCAAGTGACTAACATCTAATGAACCATTTAGGGATCTAAACCAGATATAAAGTTCATTGACCCAACATAACCCAATTCTCCAGAATCTCTTATCAGGATTTCCTTCCAATGATATCCATCAGTGATCTCATAAGACTGACCTTTACTCAGTCCCCTTTGAGATATGACTACCATTGACCCAATAAAATCCACTACCAGGACTTCGTCTATGATGGCCGCAACCAAAGTCTTCTCAAGTCTTCTGATCTTCACTCGATCACTTGAGGTTCCAACTAATTCTAAACAAAATGGTTTTCTTTGAGATTACATGAGTGCTTCTTATCAAGCATATTTCTCCTAATTTAAGTACATATTGTTTGACACAATTTTTAGAAACAACTCTTGTGTACAAACAATTTACATGAAGATCTTAAGGAATGACACAATCTTAGCAACAACTCTTGTGTTTTACATATTTCTACAAAGATGAATCTAATCTAAAATAAGTGCAACATCTTGTAACCTTATTGTCTTCATATTCTTGATTGAGCAAGTTGTGAGCAATAACTCCTTCATTCTTCATGAATATGTCAAGATGTATATGATTGATGATTTGAATTGAATCTTGAATAATTCTTCATTTTTATCTTCTTTCTTCAATAAGCAAGACATGAGCAACAACTCCTTGATTTTTCATGATTCTTCCAAGATGTATGTGATTGGTAATTTAAATAACATCTTGTAAAATTATTCATATTATTATAGTGGATGATAGCTTTTTTTTGGTTATGTTCTAGTAATGATAGCTTTTCTTTTTAATTCGAACATCAACAACCCGTGACTTGCAACTTGCATCTTTTAGCACCCAGCCAAGTAGCCTATGGCAAGCTTATCAATGTTTAGTTTGTTTGACATCATGTGTTGAGAAACCAGCTAACCAACCAATGGTCTCAACAATCAACTATCTTAAGCATATGGTTCTTTTCTTATATAGCCAAGCAAATAGATTCACTGGCTATTTGAAAAAGAGTTGTTACAAATAGTACTATGACGTCCTTATATCTTCCACACTTCAAGTTAGTGGAGAGATAGTGGCGTAAAGCTTTTCGTACCGTGGAATATTGTACCGTGTGTTGTACCCAAAAATTTTCCCTCTCACTTATCAAAAATTTGCTCACAAGATCTCCATTGACTCAAGACTGCATTAGGGTTTGATCAGCTCAAGACACCTCCTTATGCACTAATAACCAAAATTAGGGTTTGAGATTGCACAAGTATTTTTGAACTTTCAATACTTCATACGACATTCATGGATCATTATGGACCCCCAAGATTACTCATGTCAAGTTTCAAGCCTTGGATCACATTTTTGCCCAGGCAATTGAGCAGTTGACCTAAAAATCAGTTGTATTGGGGAAAAAGTCAACTATAGCCAATTTACAGTCAAAATTCATAATTTTTAATCCACATCAACATTTTAAACTAATATGTATCATTTGATCAAGTTTGGACCATAATTCCTCAAGAAATTTGATCAAATCTCCAAAAAGGCAAAATGGTCAAAATTAGGGTTTTGATTGGGAAAGGGCAATTTCTGATTTTTAACCCAACAAATGGTCAATTGGTTTAAGGCATGATCTCAAGAGTCCAATTTCATCATTTTGACATAATGAAATGGTTCAAAACATTCCAAATCCATTGGGTTGATAGATGAATTTTGCAGTCAACTGATCAAAAGTCCATTGTATACTGAAGAGTCAAACTTTGACTTTTTGGTCAAATTCAAGTACCAAAGATCACAATTTATAAAAACATGCCAAAATATGAAACTTGCTCATCAAGAAATCAAGAATTCAAGATTTAATCTTGAAATGTTAAAATTTGTTAACTTAGAAATTTTTCTAAGTATGGAAAAATTCTTATTTTTTTTATAATTTTGAGCCAAATTTTCACCATGATGCAAGATGATTCAAGAGAAACTTCCAACATGAAAGTTGTAGATCTCCATAAAATCTACAACTTTTCTTCACACAACGTCTTCCAAAAATTCTTGGATCTCAAGTTACAATTTTATGAACATAGGGTCATGAAACAAAACACTTAGTGAAATTTCGCCCTAATTTGGACATGATTTTGATCAAACTTCATGACATTGTTTCACATAGTTCCAAGGGTAATATCCAAAAGAAATTCAAATAGGGCTTGTAGAGCATGTTACAATATTTCCAAAATGTCCAATAACTCCTTGAGATCATTCTTGAGTATGGAGAATCGAAGAGATGAAGTTAGGGTTTTGTCACTTAAATTACAAGCCATTTTGTGATGAACAAGAAGTCAATTTCAAACCTATGCTGCACAATATTGTTTTGCAGGCTTCTAAACCTCAATATCTATCCATAATCATAAGATTACACTTGCTTTTGAGCTATTATCCAAGTGTTCCAAGTATTGTCCAAGCCAATTTGCCATTTTATGAAGAAAGTTACCATTCCATTCTTGAAAAGTTGCTTTAATCACAAAGTCAACTTGTCTTGAGCTTCTAAGTTGTTCTTTATGCATACACAACCCATATAAACCAAAAGCAATGTGTCTAAGGTCTCAAGAATCTCATAACATGCTTGTATAATACTTGAGATTTGTCACTTCACTTTTCTTAAAAAGCAAGTTATAGAGCCACAACCCTATAACTCTGAAACCTTGAGTGATTTTGTGCTCTAATCTTTTCCATACATATTAACAAGTCAATTGCAACACAACACACGTTTTTGACAAGCCATAAAAACACTCCCAAGCACCTTGCTGCACAGAACTGCCCAAACATGACAGTTTTGAGCAAAAACTCACCATCTTCATTTCCACTCATGCGTTTTGAAAACTAATCATCCAAACTCCTTCCATACATCATATCAAAGTGATCCAGGCCCTCATTTCCTAACTGTAACTCCTCCATCATCATCCACCATTTTCAAACTGAAGCTTGCAACTTGACTTGAGTTGGGAGTTCCAACCATCCTCAAAGCAAAGTGGGGGTTAGGACACGTTCAAGGAGGTCCAAGTAAGCTATAGAAAACATCAGGCCATCACAAAGGTTGCTCGAACTCCATACACGACTCCAGCTGCAAGAGGTAAGTTTTAAAACTTCTATATCTTCATACAAGCATCATTTGAGTTTGTTTTATGAAGATAAAATGTAGATACCATTGTCACGAAGCTGTACATATCCATAGTTTACATTTATATGGCCTGAGCTTAGAGAATTTTAGGATTGAAGTTTTCTGAAAATTTTAGATTTTGAATTAGGGCTAGAAAATTCTCATTCATCTTTGATTGTTAGCTTAAGTTGTTTATATGGTTAGATTCGTGGAAAAAATGTCACAACTTTCATGTTTGAACTTTTCATTTTTGTTGAGAGATGAAGAAGATACAGGTCTTTTGGCTGGAGGTTGAAGATTAAGTGTAATCAGGGCGCGTTTTGTGTTATGTAATTATTGTTTCAGTTATATTAATGGATGTACAACCACCTCAGTGGTAAGGCAGCGCACGTTATTGGTAGAGGACATGGGTTCTAACCTCAGCGCTGCCTTTTTTATTTTGTTTTACATTTTTGGTCGTTTTTCCTTTCTTTTTGCTTCAGCAAATAGGTGCTGGGCCTTTTGGGCTTAGCTTCTGTTTTGTTTTTTGCTTACTAACCCCCTGCAGCCTTTTGACACCCCTGGCCCATTTATTTTATTTTTCATTTTATTTTCTTAAATATATTTTTTTAAAATACTAAAAAATCATGAAATACAAAAAAATAGTAGATTTATATTTTAACTTAGTTTATTTATTTTTTCTCATAAAAAATATATTTGACCACACTTTATTTATTTTACTAATTATTCTTATAAATTTAATTAAAACTAGGATATCATTTATTTTCTTATACACCAAATAAAGTATGTTATTTTAATACCAAAAAAACTAAAAATATTTTATAATGCTATAAATATTTTCAAGATAAAAAATGCAAAAAAATACTTTTCTTAAACTTTATTTTCTTTTGATTAATTAATAGAATTAGGGTTTTCATCTAAAATCTTTTCTCAATAATTTCAAACTTAATAAATCATTTTCTTTATTTTATTAGGTTAAGGCAAAATTTCTTTTTCATAAAACATCAAACAAAATATCCATTTTCTTCACATTTACCTTCTTGCATATTTAATTCATCTTGTAAATTATTTATTTCAATTCTTGTATAAATTCAACTTGGTTGTAATAGACTAATTAGGGTTTAATTTCTTGCAATCCCCATTTGTAATTTGTACACCCCCTCCCACAAATGTTGTAATAGCGTAGTAACTTTAAATTCCGCAATTTATCGCTTTATATACAATTGCTAGTAATTAGGGTTTGTATGGAAAGACTTAAAACCAATAAATAGCAAACCCTAATTCAAAACTAAATCAAGCATGAAAACAATACATTTGCACACAAGCACCC